TCACAACATGCATTCCGTTATGCATATTTATTGTATCTTTATCATAAGGATTTAAAATGTGATCAAAATATAATGTTTTTAGCCATTTGAAGAAATGTTGACATTTTGTTCTCACTGCACTAAAGGCGGCCGGACATCCCCCTTAAGGTATGTCACTCGTGAAAGTTGTTAAATCAAGGATTTTTTGAGAAGTTTATTTTTGAAAAGTACTCATACAGTGTATCTCAAAAGCGCAGAGAAAATAGGGGATCAGTGTGGATCTTTCTGATCTACGGTACAATTATGCTGACCTTTTTTTTGCACTTAAATTTTGACTTTTTGGATAATTACTTTAACCCTTATTATATTTATCAGATGTAACCATGTCAATAAATATAATCTTATTTTACGTAAAATGGTTTAAATAATATTTATCATTTAAAAAATCTTGCGAAATAATGTGTGTAAATTTTTGTGTGACCTTTTTGCACTAAAAAGTAACATGTTTAGGGGTATTAAAAACCAAATAAGCAATAAAATATTTTCTTATATCAAACTTTTTCTGACTTAAGTGCTGATCAGTCACAAGTATTGAGTGAGTAGTTTAAAATAATAAAAAGAAGATGAGGTCAGTGGTGTTAATTTTGAAATATTGGTCAAAATATGTGATTTTCAGGCAAAAAATTGTGTAAGTTTTACCATGACTTTTTTTCACATATCTTCATATTTTGGCAAAAATTGTTGAGGGAAGGTGTAAAACTTGTTCTAAAAATATAAATTAAGACCTATATTAAATATTCCTAGCAATATCTTCAAGAAAAATAGTCACCGAGTAAAAATATGGGAGGCTAAAGTTCCACGATGTTAAATTTATTAAATGTGCAGATTTGCTGAGTTTTCTGCTAAATATCCTTCCACCACAATAAATGGTCTGTCATAAATCTGGCTCCGGGGCCATAAAACTTAGCCAGCTCACTTTCGAGCTCAAAATGTGAGACGGTCTAGGTTTTTGGTCTCAGTCTCACTTTAGGTGTGCCATAAAAATTTGCCTTCTCGGTCTCAGTCTCACTTTCTTGGTTTGGTCTCACTTTTGAGCTAAAAAAGTTAGACCACATAAAAGGTGTCTAATTTCATAATTTTTGGTCTCACTTCCAATATGGCGTCTTCGGCAGCGAGATTGAATATTTTCAACATCATTCAAAGGCAGAGAAAAGCTCCCCGTTCGCGTGATTTCAGGGATAGAAGTAATCCATTGGAGGATTTGGAGCCGAATGAGATCTATGTTAAATACCGTTTTCGGCCTGCTACTATCATTTTCATTGTGGAATTACTGTACAATGATCTTGTAAGACCAACGAAACGAAACTCCACCCTGTCCCCTATTTTACAAGTGCTGATAGCCCTACGGTTCCTAGCCACTGGATCATTTTATATCCTTGTCGGTGAACCACTGCATTGGAATCACCAAGTCTTCGACTGGAAGAGCCGCTCGCTGTGTGTGTTCCCTTCTTGCGAATTTTACGGTTCTTCTCTTAGTGGTACCTTATCTAAATGAGTATGATAAAATCTTCATCACATTATAGAATAAACATTTATGAGATTTGCATTCATACATTATCTCTTTATGAAAATATGCATGAAATGTCATATAGGGGCAAAATGAAGAGTACCCTGCCTGGTGCTCCAGAGTCAAAGCGAGCTGTCTCTCTTTTACTTTATATAAATAGCACGGTGAATGATATAGATGTCATGATGATATAATTTATGTAGCTTGAATATTTTAATAACTTTTTTAAAGATTTATTCTCTCATATGTAAATGAAGTTGAATTTTATTTCAACATGCAATACTAGCTTTTAGTGGAAACAAAATTAACAAATATGACCTACTATGACCTAAAGAAGACGTCTTTTGATTTTGAGGTCAAAAGGTTTAATAAATGCTAAAATTGTCACTGTGTTTTGTTGAATTCCTCGCAAATTCAAGTTTTCCGATGGTTCTCGCTTAGGATGGGAGAAGCCCCATATGCAGTTTCAAATCACGCACACTGGATTTTTTTCTCTCCATTTTCCCCTAATTACTGAATGATAGTATTTAGCATATGAAATGAATTTATGACGTACATATACAAACTTCATCATTGAATCATTATTTCATTGTGATAAATATTTTTAAAATGAGTAAGTATGTCCTCTAAAAATGATTATAATAATTTCATTTATCTTTAACTTATATATCTTTTCTCAGTATTCATGTTTTCAAAAATGTATTAAAATGTTGGGGGGGGGGGGGGTTAAGAAGAATAGGTTAGAGATAAACACCTACATGTATCCGAATTTATAAAAATAAAAACAAGCAACAATGGAGAATACACATGTTATGCATTTACAGTACATTTAAAACATTTTTAACCCACCCCAAAAGTTACAACGTACACTATACATATATAATAACAGGTTAAAATAAAAAATCACAGGCCTGAACTTTTTTCATGAATAGTTCATATTTTTTTCTGTGTTCTACCCTCCCTCCCTCCCTTTTCTTCAATTCTCGTTTCGCTTACATTGATCAAGTAAATAGAATATCCCTAATTTTTAAAGATTTGCTGATTGCATATGTTACGGTTTTCCAATGGAATAAACTACTATGGTGGTAACAGATGAATTTATTTATCTCACAAACACACAACAACAGGCTCTGAAATACACACAAACATAAAATAAACATACATGCACATTAAAACACAAAACACACTTCAAAGGGAAATAACTCAATTTCAAAATTGAACACAAATGATAGTCAATTAGCTTGAAATGAAATAAATATGAATTTAAATAGAATAAAACTGAATCATTTTAGCTTTTCCCAATTATAATTTAAAATCATTATCTCAGAAAAGTGTAACTCAAACAAATGGTAACTTGAAATTAATTTTATTAAAGTGTGGCGATATTATGGGCACGGCTGTTATTTAGTTTCAAATGCAAAACAAACAATATCATATGGGCAATGGGCAGCCAAGACAAGAGCATGCCCCAATCAAATGCACAAACAACATTCAACATCAAAGCAAATCATATATCAAGGTCATTACCAAAGGTCAAAGTTCATATAGTGGTAAGTCAAAGTTCATACAACATCAAAAGTTCAAAGTTCACAACATCAAAGTTCAAAGTTCACCATATATATATATATAGAAAGCATTGACCCTGGGAGGTGCAGAGGTCAAAGCTTACAATATAATTACCAAAATGCCGCTTATACGCCAGAGGTGATATTTACGATATATTTATTACGAATTACATCCCGCTTATGTGCCTTCTTTACTTGTCGTTTATATATCAGTCACTGTTTAGGAAACATTGGCCCTGGGAGGAGCAGTGGCCAAGGTTTGCGAAAAGTTCATCTAAGTTGGTCTCCAGGTAGACTTTTTCTTGTAACAGCCGTACCATTTGATATTAAGTGATCCTTTTGTAGGACAGCTGCAATAGAAAGAAAAACACAGCGCAAAAATCCATTCGAATAAGGGTTGGGTGAGGAGGGTATTTTTCTAAATATCTAAATTTGCAAAAAATTATCCCTTAAAATTGCACCAACCTCATTCATATAGTCTGTGAATGAAAAAGGATTAACGGAAGTTGACTCAGGGGGAATAACTCTAATTGATTATAGGGATTATAGGCGGATCTATGGATTTTGTAATATGGGAAATTAACACTTTCTTCGATAAAAGCCTCCAATTCGAATAGAATTGGATGTGATATTATCTCAGAAAAGTGTAACTCAAACAAATGGTAACTTGAAATTAATTTTATTAAAGTGTGGCGATATTATGGGCACGGCTGTTATTTAGTTTCAAATGCAAAACAAACAATATCATATGGGCAATGGGCAGCCAAGACAAGAGCATGCCCCAATCAAATGCACAAACAACATTCAACATCAAAGCAAATCATATATCAAGGTCATTACCAAAGGTCAAAGTTCATATAGTGGTAAGTCAAAGTTCATACAACATCAAAAGTTCAAAGTTCACAACATCAAAGTTCAAAGTTCACCATATATATATATAGAAAGCATTGACCCTGGGAGGTGCAGAGGTCAAAGCTTACAATATAATTACCAAAATGCCGCTTATACGCCACAAGTTCCCTGAGATGAGGATCAGAATGAAACTCATCCAGGGAACTCCGCCACCATGGTGGGGGTAGAGCGGCATATACGAACAGCCGTACCCAGGACCCTTGTTAATTGGGAAAGCAGGATTGACCATGCGCAACGATAGCCTCAAGTCCCCCCTGGAGAGAGTTTAGAAAAATGTTATTCCCCAACGAGGATAAGTGTACCCCATCCTGTAAAAATAAAGCTGGATCAGGTTTAATGTCTGAATGGCGAATTATTGCGCCCCCAGATTGCAAGACAATTGCAGCTATACCAGAATTAACCCGTTTGCGTGCATTTTCCATAGCTTTTAAATTTGCTGAATAGCGCCATTGGAGACGCGGAAGTATAAATGACCATATAATCCTACTGTTTCGAAAGTGATTCCTTAGAAATAAAACCAACTGCTTTGCAACCACCCTTATTTTTCTGATCGATACATTGCCCAAGTCATTCCCCCCACAATGTATAAGGATGAAATTAGGTACAGGGCCCACCTTTCCAAGAGTTCTAATCTTTTGTTTAGTTTTACTTAACAGGAGGCCACTATAACCCTGCCACCACAGTGAGATGTGTTTTCTTTCTAATGTCAAATTTGTACCACCTGGTCTTAATACAGCTTTCAAAAAGGCGTGCTTGATTATTGATGAACCCACCAACCATATTGTCTGTATCTCTAAAATTAAATTAAAACTTTGGTATGCGAATGTAGGATTTGTAAGAATCAGATTTCCAACGACCAGATCTCTGAATGTCATGAGTTGAAAATCCTTTTAACGCGAGATCAGTACTCGCGCCGATACGAAAAGAGTGAGATTTGTATCCTGAGATACCAGGCAAATTTAGGTGCTTAACTGCCTTACAAAGTACCCCCGTAAATTGATATCGTGTGAGTGGGGATAAATCGAAGTGTCGAAATAATGGACCTGAACCCTCTGGACGGATGCTGACGTATTTAGTAATGAGCTGATATGGACATGCTACACCACCCTGCTTATCTATTTGAAGTACTGTGCCTTTACCTAACTGGTCCGTTTTCGAATACCGGATAGTCAGTAAGAGAGATTGCGTTTCGTGATTAATGGACAAATTGTCGAATTGAATTGTGTTTTGTTGATCACCTTCTCTTGTATTAACTGTTAATTCGCCAACTCTTAAAAATCCATGAAATGCCAGGGAAAATGCAGCCGAGAAAAGAGCTGTTTCAAAAGCATTGGTACATATTATGGGCAGAACTTGAATAATATTTAGCAAAATTGTTTTCGTTATTGGCAGTCTAGTATCTACTTTATGTCTCAAACGTTTCATGCCCTGCAATAACTTTGTAACCAAGAACTCTGGGGTTGGATCGTGAACACTCTGCAATTTACAATAAAATGAAATGGCAGACAAGTATGACCTCACGGTACCATATGCGAGGCCGGATGATGATGAATGCAAAACGAATTGCACGACTGAGTTTAATGTAGGGGGCCATGGCGTGCAATCAATGAGTCTACATACTTTGTAATAAGCTGCCATTCCAGCCCGATGAGATTTATGTGTGTTTTCAGATACTGAGGCGTCTAAAAGTTTAGCAAACTCAGGCTGGAGATGATGTTGCGGAAAGATAGGGGCACTGGGCAAGGGTGTTCCCTGGCATGTGGAGCTGCTTGTCGGAATCTGGCCCACTGCTTACGAGAAATTGAATCAGCAACTACATTGTCTTTACTTGGTATGTAAACTGCACGAAACAGAATATTATAATTCATAGAAGCAAGGACAAATGGTCTAAGTAGTTTCATGACCCGCTCTGATTTAGAAGTGAGTTTATTTATTATAGCGACTACAGCTTGATTGTCTATATGGAGAATGATCTTTTTATTAGCGAGTTTGTTACCCCATAAATAGACGGCCAGGACCACCGGAACTAACTCTAAAAAGGTCATGTCTTTAAGTAGGTCATTGGACGCCCAGGTCTCTGGCCAAGGGTAAAAACACCATTCCCCTTTGAAATAAGCACCACATCCCAAGTAAGACGAACCGGAACTATCTGTGTAAAAATTAATGTTGTTGTCTGACGTCCACTCAATATCTAAAAAATACACAGTCCCATTAAATGATTCAAGAAAATTAATCCACATGTACAAGTCCTGTCGCATTGATTGAGTTATCCTTATGTGATAATGTAATTCTGAAACTCCTATTGTAGCATTATAAAGCCGACGCAGAAATGCCCTACCTGGTCTTATGGCTCTTGTAAAGAAATTCAGTTTACCTAAAACAGATTGTAATTGTTGGAGTGTCATCTTGCGTTGAACAACGAGATGGTTTAAAATACCCTGTAGCTCTAAGCATTTTGAATTGGGGATCTTAACTAGCATATGATAAGTATCTATCTCAAAACCTAAAAATGTCATAACCATAGTAGGGCCTTCAGATTTGTCCTCGGCAATAGGAACACCTATATCATCGCAGACGTCTTGAAAATTCGACATAAGATCTTGACAGGAATGGGCATCCCTCCCAGCAAATATAAAATCATCTAGATAATGATCCATTGTTGATGTTTTAGAGCGCTGTATCGTAGCCCACTGCAAAATTGTAGAAAAATCCTCGAAAACCTTACACGAAATGGAGCACCCCATAGGTAAACATTTGTCTATGAAATAATTACCCTGAAATTTAAAACCCAGGAGATCAAAATCGCCGGGAAATATTGGAAGAAGTCGAAATGCGGATTTTATATCTCGCTTACCTATGAAAGCCCCCTTCCCTAATTTAGCAATCATCTGAATCACTGAATCAAAGGATGAATATTGTACAGCAGTTTCACAAGGATCTATGTATGAATTTACACTACTAAACTTCGGGAAAGAGAGGTGCGTTATTAGACGCCAGCCCAAATTATCCCCCTTCGGCACTAACCCAATTGGAGATAACCTAAGATTAGAAATTGGTATTTTCGTGAAAGGACCCTGTATCCTCCCCATTTCAATTTCTTTATCGATTTTCTCTTTAAGTTCATTAGGATGATCGTCCGCGGATTTCAAATTATTACATTGAATTGGTAATCTAGGCCCATGATAATGAAGTTTAAACCCTTGAGAGAACCCTTGGATTAGGCGATTTGCTATGATTCTGTTAGGATAGTGGACGAGACATTTTTTAAGGGCGTGTACATTAATAGGCGTTGAACCTAGACGCCATAGATTGCGGGGTGCGGAATCTTGGTCTTGAGTAGGTGGGGCGCTGGGTGTTGCTGCTGGAATACCCCCTATAATTGGTATTTGCATTGGTTGAATACCCCTTATAGTTGGTATTTGCATTGGTGGTTTGTGGACGAAAACTTGACTGTCCATAGAATTGACCACTTGAATTTTGTTGGCGAAATATTTGTGCGGACCCAGTGTTTGAGGCTTGTGTAAGGCAATGTATCTGTGGATGGTTACTACCACATCGAATACAACTGTGTTTATACATGCATGGGAATTTGTCACAAGATCCCTTGTAATTGAAATTGAAGCATTTATCATTATTGGTTTTGGGTGCATTTGTTACGTTATAAGCGGGCCCAGAATGCATATACATCAACCATAATTCCGAGTCAATTTCACCCCAAGAAGACACAGGATTTTGCTCTTTGCGCAGCCTAAACTGCGTATCATATTCTTTCCAAGATATAGCCCCCCTGCTAACACCCATTCTTACGGTCTGTATGTACTTAAGTAGGTCAAGAGTCTTGGCGGGATGTGCACTCAAGTACACACTTGCAAATATGAGCATAAGGTCAGTCCATTTCTCAATATTTTCTACCTTTTTTGGGTTGGCATCTTTATAAATTATCTCACCCATACTATTCATAACTAATTTCTTTTCATCAGACCCTGATTTTGGTGTTACCAATGTGGCCAAATCAATATACTGCCCACTAATAATACGTTGTTTGACTGTGCTAGAAACATTCATACCAATCATATGTATTGATGGGACAGGAGCAGGGGTGGTACCAACATCTGTTGGAGTTGAGATTGTTGCTCCAGAGGTGGTCGGTGCAAAGGATGGCCCTGCACTTGTCGTCAACATGGGTTGCGCTTCCGCCACAACGGAAGTTGATGGAGCCTGGGTCGGTGGTATTGGTACATGTACTGGACATCCTGCCGACGCCGTCGACGAGTACGTCTGGGAATTCACAGACACCGTAGCCTGACTACCACTTGGCTGCTGTGTGGCAGTCGCTGCTGGTTGTGCCATTCTACGCTTCTTAGCTCTCGGTGGCATCGTGTTCAGAAAAGAAAAGAAAATTCTTTATTTATATATATATATTATTTTTTATATTTGTAAGAAGAAATCTAAATTAATTATCTCCTCATTCTCACATCCTTTATTATTTCTTTTTATAAAGTTAGCCTAATTTTTTATTTATTTATTTATTATTATTATTATTATTATTTTTTTATTTTTTTTTTATCTCCCCTTGGTATGGAAATCTGAAACGTGTCGGATCAATTTATAAAACAAAGAAAATTTAATTAAGCCAAAGCAATATGATATACATGTAAATCCTAACGATCAAGATAAATGACTTAATAATCATTATATCTTATCACATACTTACATCATATAATCTGTTTTAATGAAAACTTATATAGATACAACGTGGTCGGCTAATACAAAATGGCCACAACAGACGCTAGAAAAAATTATCATTATAAAATCAAGGATCATCGGGAAATCATGAATAAATACTCCTAAATTGATTGCAGCAAACAACTACCAAATAGATAACAAAAACATCCATATGTATTATACCCATTAACTATTTTTCTAAATATCTAAATTTGCAAAAAATTATCCCTTAAAATTGCACCAACCTCATTCATATAGTCTGTGAATGAAAAAGGATTAACGGAAGTTGACTCAGGGGGAATAACTCTAATTGATTATAGGGATTATAGGCGGATCTATGGATTTTGTAATATGGGAAATTAACACTTTCTTCGATAAAAGCCTCCAATTCGAATAGAATTGGATGTGATAATATTGTATCAAATTAAACAAATAACTCAATATTTCTCAACGTCATCAGTGCAAAACAATTTGTTCACACAGAAAACACAATCAAACACCACAAACAAATTCAACGCATAAAACATTGATCTTACCAGATATATGGTATCAGAACCATTGTTCTTTATATATATATGTGACTACAGTTATGGCTAAGGAACTCCCTAAAAACCAATTATTGTTATTGTATTATATATTGATTTCATCAAAAATGTAAAATATTAAATAAATTCTATTTTTATAATTATCACACAATCAACATTCTCTCAGGTTAATAAAGATTAATAAATAATGTCTTACTTTCTGTCTAGGTCAGTCAAGTCCAAAACCTCTACCAACACATACAATGTATAGAACAGGAATTCAGGAATGAAAATCAAATACCCCAATATCACTATACCCTCTAAGACTTTTACCTTTGACACTAAAATCAACCAACCAGGAATGAAAACCAATGAACCATAAATAACATACTACACTTACCTATGGAAACCCATGAATGACTTAAACCCATAAATAACTTAGAATATGGAAACCTGTTTATGTAATCTCAATAATTTATTTTATTTAAACAAACCAATAAAATAAATATAAATCTATACTATTACACATATATAATATTAAGTAAGATTTTGTTTATTCCTAATAAAAGTTTTTATACTTTAGCATTGACAATTGCAGTTATATCTTCCCAAGCGCAATTTTTCTCTGCTTTGATCCCGTGAGGATCCGGGTTAGAATAGGTCCTCAGTACCCCCTTATGCTTGGCGTAAAAGGCGACTAAATGGGGCGGTCCTTCGGATGAGACCGTTTAAACCGAGGCCCCGTGTCACAGCAGGTGTGGCACGATAAAGATCCCTCCCTGCTCAATGGCCCTGAGTGCCGAGCATAGGCCCAAATTTGCAGCCCTTCACCGGCAATGGTGACGTCTCCATATCAGTGAAATATTCTGGAGAGGGACGTTAAACAGTATACAATCAATCAATCTCTGCTTTGCCGCACTGGGCACCTTTAAACTTTGAGTCTAAAACATCAACACGCCGACTTGCTTCCTCGTATAATATTTCTTTTTCTAGCTTACTTCAGTATGGTTCGTTAACGTTTTCTTCCTCATTATTTTTTGTTAAAAGAAATTCGATATCTTTATCTTCCATGTTTCTTTACCTGCGTCTTTGATGAACGTTGATGACGTCAGTGACGTCAATTATTAAAAATGACGTAACATTTAACATATAGTAAGCATAAAGAACAAAAACAGTCTTTATTTTGAATTTTATTTTAATACGTTTTACTATTGAGCAATACCTAGAAGGTGGGCATGTCATGTGTAAACAATATCCCACAATGCACTTGATATCCTGCTAAGTTTTGGTCTCACTTTCTGTCTCAAGCTAGAAAATTTAAAATGAGCTCAATCTCCCTTTATCGCACACAAAAAGTGAGACGGTCTAAGTTTAGCCTTGAATCCGAGATTTTAAGATTGATCTAAAAAGTGAGCTGGCTAAGTTTTATGGCCCCGGAGCCTGGCCTCTCTGTAGATTTTTGAGCAGTTTTTTCGTTGAATGTTGAAAACATTACATTGTTGAAGTTTAATATGTCATAAAAATTGATTTTTAATAAATAGTTTTGAAGTAAGCGGTTCTGCGTGAACTTTTCTAAAAAGTTGACGAGTTATTTACCTTAAAAGAAGCAGATGAATTTGACTCATTGTGTTAATTCAACATTGACTATTACTTTTCAAAAGAATGTCTATTAATTGGGACAAGACATTTTCTATTTTGATCTTTTGACCTTGACTTTCAAGTTCGACTTATTTTTATGAATTTTAACTAAGCAATATCTCATGAAAAGTAAGAACTTTCAGTCGACTTAACCCAAAATGAATTTACCTTGAATTATACGTCTTTCAATCTCGAGAGACATGTTGAAATTTAAGATACTGGAAAAAGATCACCTGTTTAAAATTCTAAACGTACCCTCTTTATAAATCTATCGTTATTCTGACATTCACGAGATACATATTACAAGATACGAATGAAATGAATATATGAAATCTTAATTCTACCTAAATTTAGCTTCAATATAGGTATTTAATGACATGCGCAGCGTTATTTTATGAAAATCTTTTACTTCTGCAGTCATTCTGTGTAAACACGTTAATAGATTCATGGCGTACGCAGTGACACGGTTAGTCTTATCACTGCTGGTAAAGTGCGAATCGAGAAAATCTTGGTTTCGGACACCAGCTACTATTGGCTTCTGTGAAATATCTAGTTAAATACATATTTTTTGATATAAAACAATAAAAATAACTTTTTAGAAAGCAAATTTATTAAAATGTTAAGCGATTGAATTGCTTTAATACCCCCAAAATGCTCAATATCGAAACATTACATGCAAGTGGCTGTTTACGGCGTGTTTTTCATGTACTCGCATTCGAATGATGCATTAAGTGCTACAGGACTAATTGGACAGTTAAGAGGGCAAATGTAACTTTAATTCAACGTTATTTTATTGCCGTGGACACACACAATGTGCTTTACATTATTTATTTTCATGGAATTAGTCAATAACTAGCAAATTCATTTTGTAGGTGCTACAATTGATTTCTGTAAAATTTTGACACAGGCGACTTTTTATTTGTGTAAATGCGACAACTGGTTTACGTCTCTGAGACTGTTGGTTTATGTTACTTAAAGTGAATATTATGAAATTATTCAAAATTGCATGAAAAGGATAATAGTTTTTGTAGTTTATTGTCATTTCTGACCATTTCTTGCAGCAATACGAAATGTTCCATCAATTCTTGTTACGCGGATATTGTTTTATATTCTTTTGTTACTTTTAAATGGAGTGATATGATATAAATAAGCAAGATAATGACACCAAATATTATAAAACTGCACCAGGTATACATATACGAATGTCGTGATCAAGCGATCAAACTTTTTAAAGCAGTAAACGAGTGTATATTGGTAATATTTTTCCTTGCAATTTATATTTGTTCAAAGCATGATGTTTGCATCCTAAGCATTGTGTTGCATGTGGTCTACATTTATCCAGTTATATCTCGAGCACGTGGTATGCCAGTCGGGGTGTACTTAATTTCCTGTAGTCTTTTGCTTTAGTTTTGATTCTTGTTTTTAATTTTTTTATGTAGACATGCCCCCCCCCCCCCACTTTTTTGTAACCATAAGGTAGCTGCATTTCTGTAACTTGCTGGTCTGAGAAAAAAATGATATAGACTACCGAAGTGCCACAGTGCCACTCTAACAAAAATCTGTTAAAAAATTGGGCCCAAAAGCTGCGATTGGTACTGGATTAATTCCTCCAAATTCTTATCTCAACTGCACAAAAGCTAAAAAAATCATGACCTCTAGAATTCTTCACGAAGCGTGTTGCAATTGAAACGATTTGTCTCTTGTCATCTGCAGAAAAAATGCGAAATTTGCTGGTCTCAATTTCATGGAGGGTTATTTACCACAGTTTTTTGTTGTGGAAATAGTAAATGGAAATTGTAAAGGAATTTATTTGAAATACCCAGTAAGAATTTTTTTTTTTAGAATGTGGCAGTTTGAATCCGAGAAGCAGCACACTTTTATGCACAATAAATACCGGTATACACGTTTTCCATCTCTCCAGTCTTTGTACAGATATAGTTCTGCAGCTAACCGTGAGGTTTGCAAACCCAGCCGTTGTCATCTTCGCTAGCCAAGGGTTTCTAATACGCTACTTTCGTCAGTTTTTGCAGAAAGTAGCATATGAGAAACCCTCCAACAGCAAAGATGGCCGTTGTGGAAAAATGAAATAGTTAGAGAAAGGTCCCCAACACACGATAAAGAAGGACTGCTCTTTCTAGCTTTAGAACGGCAGCGTTATGGTTTTGTATTTAAGTCTTTATAGTCAAAGATAAAACCATAAGTTAACACTACAGTTTTGGAGCTGTGTTCTTCCGAGATTGGACATTTTTTGGGGTTGTCAATCACCTGCGATCCTCATCCTTCCTACATATACATTGAAAATAATGTCACGGGTCTGTATGTTTGATAAATAGACCGGTGTCTTTATGTCATTCAAATATGGGAATATTTTGTTGAGATATTAAAATATTCCATAGAAGTTGGTCATCGGAAATATTTAATGCCATCTTTCCAAGTCAAAGGTTAAAACTTCTAATGGAGGGGATGTAAAAGTAAAACACTCTTACATGT